GGGACATTCTCAAGCTTTTCACACCGAAAAGGAAAAAAAAATGTTATTTTTAGATACATTTTATGAATAACTTTTGTTATGAATATGGCTGGTAACCATTGTGTATGTTATTAAAGATACAAAATGTTGGGAAAAAAACAAAAAAAAATGGAAAACTACCACCCTCCCTGCACTATTGGCCCATTCCCCAGACCTTGCTCTTGCCCTCCTGGTCTGTGGACCTCCCTCCACTGACCCCATGGAAGGGGAGGAAGCCAGAGGGTAGAGTGCCCTGGGGACCTGCCACTGGGTCCCCACCTCCTCTCCCAGTGCCGGGCTGGGTGGGGTGTCAGGTTTATTTATGTACCTCTTGCACACTCATCAACCTATGCAAGTCCCCACCCCGGCCCCTCCATGTTTCTGTGCCTTTGCTCATTTCCCTCAACCCCCCAGGGCTTCTCCAGCCTCCTCCCGCTAGCCACAGGAAGTGGGATGGATGGGCCACCTCACGTGGAATCAGCAGGGTGTCCTCATGGAACCCTCATCTCTCCCCAGCTGGTTGGTCCCATCTTCACTCCCCATCAGGGTGAGCTGACCCTGTCTGGCACTGGGAGGTGGTGAGGGACACCCTCCCCAGCACAGGGAGGAGAAAGCTGTGCCCCTCCTGACAGCAGAGTGTGCAGGACGCAGGCGGCCCCACTCTGATGGGCAGGACCCGGCCCTCCCACCCTGTCCCCCAAGTCCTCCATGATTTTACCCTCCCCACCTATTTCTGTCCCCAGCCCCACTGGCAGAATCAGCTTTGGGTAACTACAGTTTTTCTCACTGTTGGAGAAGACTGACTTGTTGGAGTTTCACTTGTTTAATGGTCTGGGCTTATTTTGGAAAAAAAAAAAATCAATCTGAACTTTGTTATGCTGTACTTCATGGGAAACTGACCTTCTGCACCTCATGCTGGGGTCCTTGAGCATCTGGGTTGGGGATTGGGGGACTGGATGAAATAAGACCAGAGGCACCAGGAAGGGAAATCAAGAGAAGGTGGCTTTATTAAAAGCAAAGGTTGAGGGGTGGGGAGAATCAAAGTGAAGAGCTCACCGACAGACCACTGAAAGACCCCACTCTAAGAATGGCGTCGCTCCAGCCTCCTTTGAAAGCCCTGGGCCTCAGTCACTGTCGCTGTCAGCCTCGCTGGACTCAGAAGCTGCAGCTTCACTCCCATCTTCTTGGGCTGAGTGCTCACTGCCACTGGCGAAGGGGCTGGCACTGCGGCTCCGGCTCCGGCTCTGGCTCCGGCTCCGCTGGCCACCTGCGTCACTGCCACTGTCTGAATCATTGTCACTGCCACCCCGGGCCTGTCCTCTGTCGTCATCAGAGTCAGCGTCGTCCTCCGAGTCAGCATCACTACCGAAGATCTCTTCTTTGTCTCGGGCCGCCCGGGCTTCATCCTCGCTGCTCTCGTCCTCACCACTGCCACTCTTGTCACTTGCCTCGTCCCTGTCACCCTCCTCCCGTTCACTCTCACTGCCAGAGCGCTCATCCTCACTGCCCTCCTTCTCGCTGCTGCTGCCCTTCTCATGTTCCTCATCTGTGAGGGAGCAGGGAGAGGTCAGAACCAGTTTCTCACCCTCCCAGGGCTCCCAGGAGCTGACATGTGCCTTTTTACCTGAACCCGCGGCTTCTTTCTCTTCTGCCTCCATCTCCTCCTCCTCTTCCTCCTCGGGTTCGTGGTTTTCCAGCTGAGCTTTCCGTGCCTCCTACAGGCAGAAGAAGCAGGATTGGGGAGGGGGAGGATACGATGCCGGGCCTATCTCCTCACCCCCCAGCCACCCTTCTGTTGGGGCCCTGGGCTAGGAATGCTTATTACCTGGGCTTCTAATTCCTTCTCATTCATGTCTCGGTGCTTGACCACAAGGAGGGCGTTGGTACCTGACTGAACCCCAGCCTTGGCCCGGCGCTTACTAAGACGGACCCTGTAGAGGACAAGTTGCAAGAGGAAGGTGAAAGATCCAGTTAAAGAGCCCTCCAGTGAGGGATCTAGTCTGACTTGATTCCCCATCAATGCCTGGCCCAGAGCACACCAGGGGAAAGATTATATATAGAGTATATATGTGTGTATTACGTCATGTGTGTATGAATTAGTTATCAACCAACACTTAAAGGTAGATGTCAGATCTGGATTTCTGGCTTTTGAGAAATAGGAACTTCTGTCTCACTGAAAATAGAGCCTTTCTGCCCCTAACAATAGTGAGCTGAAATTGGGGTGTGATGCTCCTTGAGAGTTAGCCAGCTCACTCAGAGCCAATTCTTTGCTGCCTCTCACATTTCCTTTTGGCTGAGATGAAAATGTTTGATCTCTGCTTTAAACTAACTCTTAAACCTAGCACCCTAACCAATTACCTTTAAGCCCACAGGGAATTTTAGGGTCATGCATCTGGTTTTGGTTTTTGAGACAGGGTCTCACTATGTAGTTTAGTCTGGCCTTGAAGTCAATATGTAGCCTAGACTAGCCTTGAACTCTCAGTGATCCTCCTGCTTCAACCTCCCAAGCGGTGGGGTTACAGATGTGCACCTGCCATACCCATCTTAGGGCCATGTTTTTGAAGTTAGATGTTAAGTGTTTCATTTAAAACATATGCCCAGCCTGGGCAACTCAGAACCTGTCTCAAAAGGGCTGATACATTTCAGCGTGAAGGCCCTTGGTTCAATCTCCAGTACGGCCCCCCTCTGCTGCCGCAAATACATATATACATATGTATTGTGTGCGAATATGTATATACATACATATATGTTACTATCACAGGAAGTTGACTACACCCTACACAAAAGCTCTAAAGTCTTCCAACATTACGTTTTTTTTTTTTTTGGAGTGTCAGAGATTAAACCTAGAGCCTTACATTCTACCACTGTGAAATACACCCCCAGACACCACCACCACTTTTTGACACAAGGTCCTCAGTTGAGTTACATAGGCTAGCCTTGAACTCAGTCCTACCTCCGTCTCCTGGGGTTACAGGCATGTACCACCCTGCCTGGCTTGCCCCAGGGTCTGAAGGAGAAAGGCAGGCCAATCAAGTGTGCTGAGTACCTGGTCTCCAGCTCGTTGTAGTATACCCCATCACCCTCTCGGAAAATGAAGAAGTAGTTCTCCTCGTAGCCCTTGCTAGCCTTGTTCTTCACATTCCAGTTATATTCCCGAGCAATCTTGTAGTCGTACCTAAGGATGAGGACACAAGGTCGGCCCCATTTTGCACCTGAGGAGGAGAAAGGGGGAAACACTTCGCAATACCCAAAACCTAACCAAACCCACGCACACATCATCTGGTGCATAGTCCATCTCCTCCTCTTGATCGCGTTTTCGTTTTTTCAGTGTCTCTTCCACAGGCAGGAAATAGGCCACAAACTGGTTCCCTTCCTCATCCATCATGCCCCTAGTTAGGTGAAGAGGAGAAACTTAATGGTATGAAGGCAAAGGGACAAGGAACAGGCCAAAGTGGACAGAAGGACCACTGACCTGATCATAGCCTGAGACATCATCTCCAAGGCAGCTGCACCACTCGTGTCCTTGGGTGCTGGGTCTGAGTCAAAGATGACCTGAGCGCATGGGTTGATCCACATCTGGTGGGATGGAGAGTACTGGTGTTAGTCTGGAACAGGCAGCCATGGGAGGCTGTCCCTCCACCTCCCACCCTAGGCCTGACCTTAAAGTCTGGGAAGACCGGCATGACCTCCACTGGTGTCACTCGGGGCTTGCTGTAATGTTGGGAGATCTGGGGGATGGCGGCAAGAACAGAATGAGAAGGAAGAAGAGCTGGACCCACGCCTTTGTGTCTACTGCTTCCCATCCCAGTTTATCAATTACCGACTTCTGGGCGTCTTCAAAAGTCTTCTCAATGGCTGTGATCTGGCTATCCCTGTCTTTATATATTTCCTCCTCGGTGAACTGTTGCTTCACAGAAACCCCAATTCTAGGATTGAAAAGAATCTTTTAGGGGCCACTGGACAGACCTGGAATCTCCACCTTCCCTCCTTTCCTGTCTGCAACTTACTTGACCTCAGGCTTCTCATTAGAGATGCCGTAACGATTGAACTCAGTGGAGATGTACTCTGTCTTACGCATCCAGGGCACCACCTTTGCATGCTGCTGGGACCTAGGTTAGGAGATCAGGCACCTCAAGACTCCATACAGGATGCCTTGCCACTTAAGAGATCCTCTAGCCACTTGGCACCGTCTCACCTCTTAGAACTGGTGGGGGCCTGAATCTCTTCTTCCAAAAGCTTCTCATCAGCTGGATCCAGGAGAACTAGAGAGTGAGGGGGCAGGAGGACCATGAGAGGGACCCAGGCCTGGCCTTTGCTGGCCTAGCACAGAACCTCCCCGTCTCCCCACACACCATTGGGATCAATGCGGTAGGTGTCAGGGTTGATGAGGTCAATGGTGACCCCCAGGTCTGGCTCAGTCAGGAGATCGTGTTTGTGCTGTTTCTCCAAGGAAGTCGCTTTGTACTGGACAAACCTGGGTGAGGAAATATGCCAGTTCTGTTTCTAGATTCCAGCTTCATTCCCAACACAGCATCCCTGCTTCCCAGAAATAAGCTTCTCCAGAGAGGAACTAGAATGGAGTGTTCCCATGTTGAAGTCAGGCTGCCTCTCCAGTGGGAGGGGACGTGGGCACTACTTGCTCTATTCATTAGGTCTTTCAAGGGGGGTTGCATTTGTGGTACAGATTGAACTCGGATTCTGCACTGAGCTACATCCCTACCCACCCCACACGCACATACCTTGTTTAAATTTTTGTCAAAGTTTTTTTTTTTTTTTTTTTTTTGAAGTACTATGGATAGAACTCAGGACCTTGTGCTTGCAAAGAAGGCACCGTGCCACTGAGCTAAATCCCCAGCCAACAAGGTCTTGCTAAAACTGCCCAGGCTGGGCTCCAACTTTTTTTTTTTCCCCCTCGTTGTGGGCTCCAACTTTTGATCTTCCTGTCTTGGCCTCCCAGAGTGCCAGTATTACAAGTGTGTGATACAACATCCAGCTCACTAGGTTTTAATTTCTGTTTTTGCAGTCCTGGGGACTGAACCCAAGGCCTCACATATGCTTGGCAAGTGCTCCACCACTAAGCTATATCCTCAAGCCTTTTTACTTATTTGGTGGGGGTGTGTGCCAGGGATGGAACTCCGGACCTTGCATTTGTGAGGCAGGCAGCAAAACCACTGGGCTAAATCCCTGGCCCTATTTTTTTTTTTTAATGTTTTATTCTGAGGAAATTGTGCAGGCTGGACTAAAACTTGCAATCCTGCCTCAACCTCCTGAGCAGCAAGATTGCACCACTGTCCACATTCATTAGTATTTATCAAGCTGCTCCTATTACATCCTGGGAAGGTACTTCACTAGGCCCCAAGAAACTATTTCTGTGTAGTTTTCTCGTCCCTCATACTGGTCTTACCTGTTCTGGTCAAAGGGGTAGGTGATGAATTTAGGGTCGAAGGGGATGTCAGGGAGACTATTGCAGTACTTGACACGGCAGACCACTCCAGACCTAGGAAAACAGCAGCTCAAAACTGGACCCCCTTGGCCCGCCTCTCCTCCCAGAGCCCATTCCCCATCCCTCTTCAGAAAGCAGGTGGAGCTCACCTCTCAGGTAGAGTCCGGTGGGAATTGGGCCTAGTGGAGAGGAGAGATACTGATAAGAATGATGGAAAGAACAGGCCTGAAAGAGTTCAAGAGGGTTCTAAGATCCTAAAAGCTGGAAGGAGGGGTGCTTTGCTTTAATAGAGGGACCTGATAATTTGATTCCTTTGGAGGAAGTGTCCCCAAATGCTTCCGTCAATGAGCCCAAGTGCTCAACCCCTCTGGGAAGTAATATCCAGTGCTTTAATAAAGAACTACATAATTTTTTTTTTTTGAGAGGGGTCTCTAAAAGCTTGACTGCAGGGACCTAAGTGCGAGGTCATTTTTGAAGTCTCCAACGGTGTCACTCCTAAACTCGATAGCAAGGGAGGAACACCCGAGTCCCAGAAAGAACCCGCCGCCTCTGTCACAGGTGAGCGCTCCGTGACGTCACGGGCACACCTGGGGCGCCGTAGCGTTGTAAGCAGACATCCTCCCCCGACTCCACGTCCTGCTGAAACCCAGATAAGACCCCGGGGAGAGCGGTAAAGCCAGGTGGCGTGGCGCCTACCTGTGGCCATCCTCCCGCTGGGCCTGGGTCTGGATGGTGGGCGCCATAGCGATGAGGTGACGGCTGCGCCGACCGGGTCCTCACTGCACCGTGGGCAGATGCTGAGGGGCGTGCCGACCTCAATGGACACAGGCTCTGAGTCAGGATTCGGGTCGGCGCCGCTCTCAGCTGGGGTTGGAACGAAGCGAGGTGGCTGGAAGAGCTCCGGGAACGACTCAGGTAAATGCGCAGGCAGTGCCGGGGACGCACTTGCAGTTCCACCTCCACCAAACTGCTGCCCAGAATCTGAGGACCCGGACCTGTCGCTTCAGGCCCCAAGGCCTTCCGGGAAATAGAGTCTGGAGCAAAACCGCGTACGGATTGGCCAGTTGTTGGGTACAGGGTGGAGCGATGGGGGAAAGACCACTTATGATTGGTGAAAAGATGTTGCCGTCTGGACGTCGGATTTTTTTTTGGGGGGGGGACGTCGTATTTGAGAGTGACGGAAGGTAGGGCACCTCTTCTTTCACTGGTTGAATCGTCTGAGAGGCAGATCTATCTAGCAAATAGGGCCAACGGCCGAAGAAGCTAAAAAACTGAGGGATGCGCACTTGTGACGCGCTTCCGGTGCTCTAAGAGAGGAAAATGGCTGCGCCCCAGCAACAGGCTTCGGCGGCTTCCTCAGCTGGTGGTTTATCCGGTCCGGGTTCGGCTGGTGGCCCGGGTCCCCAACAGCAGCAGCAACCGCCGGCACAGTTGGTGGGACCTGCCCAGAGCGGGCTCTTGCAACAACAGCAACAGGACTTTGATCCTGTACAACGCTATAAGATGCTCATCCCGCAGCTGAAGGAGAGTCTGCAGGTGATTGTCCCGGAGCTGCAGGCGCAAGCGAGATTTGGTGTTCTAACTCCGAGGAGGCCTGCTGAGGAGCCTGTTTAGTTAAGGAGATATTGTAGGCAAGGAAGAGTAAGACTCGTTTGTGTGTGTGGCCATAGCGAAGCTCTGAAGTGGCACTAGTGGGAGGCAGTTTAAAGGAGGAAACCGGGCTCTGGTCGTCAAAGCCTGGAGGACGGACTGGCCTGTATGGAGACTGGGAGATTCTGCACGTAATTAGTGGATGGGGGTTATGTCCGGGAGGTTATTGGTGAGAACCTCGCGTGAGGGCAGGCCTCTAGGAAAATAGTGGGGAGATCGCTGTAGGAATGTAATAAAAGAGCGTCATTCTGGACTGTCACAAGAGGAAGTGCCAGACGAAGAGGAGGCCTGAGATTGGATGGGTTCCAAGGAACAGTATAGATCTACCAAAGAACTGTATCCCCCTTCTGTGTCTCCGTATCCTTCACTTTTTTTTTTTCCTAGACCTTGATGAAGGTCGCAGCCCAGAACCTGATTCAGAACACTAATGTTGATAATGGACAGTGAGTACAGCCCCCTTTTCCCAAGATATCCAATCTTCCAGCCTTAGAAATACCTCCCTCTGGGCCAGCGATTTAGCTCAGTGGCAGCGAACCTGCCTCACAAGTGCAAGGTCCTGAGTTCGATCCCTGATACCAAAAAAAAAAAAAAAAAAATCCTCCCTCAACACCCTACCCCCTCCTGTTTTTAAGCCTTACCTCTGATCTCCTGGGCCCTGCCTGGTTTCCTGATGATCTGTTGGTTGAGTAGATAGTGGTGTCCCAGAGTTTGGAAATCCATTCCTCAGTCACCCTTTTCTCCTGGGCTATAGGAACAGCAGCGATGTACCCATACAGCGCTTTGACAAGTGCCTGGAGGAGTTCTACGCGCTCTGTGACCAGCTGGAGCTCTGCCTGGTAAGGGGTCTTCTGGATGCTGGATGATCACACCTGCGTCATTCCCCAGCATCTTCAGAAACCCTCATTTAGTCAGCTCACTCACCCGTCTTCTGGGACAGATCTATGCTTTAAGTAACACTGGGCACACAGTGTTATCTGATTCTTGCTCTCACAGAGCTTCCAGTTCAGTAGAATAACAAATACAACACCAAATAGGAGACAGCTCAGAGTCAAGGCTGATGGGAGAACTCCAGGCCAGAAAAGGGCTACGAAGAGGGAGCACAGGGAGAAGGGTCAGCTAGGATGGGGGAAGTTTGGGGTGTATGAGGGTGGAATCCTGGGGGGCTCAGGAAAGGCAACTGGGAGAGAACACATTGAGGAAGACTAGAACAAAGACCAGATGAGAGGCAGGAATGACTAAGAGCTTCAAATCAGACAGACTACTTCTGAACCTTGGGTTTCTCCTTTGGAAAATGAAGTGTCAGGAAAAACTGCAAGATCATGTGTGGGAAACACATACTGTGATCTTTTCTTTTTTCTTTTTTGGCATATAAGTAGTGTTTCTGGACTAAGTATTGAAGAAGAAGGCACTTTGAGAAGTAGTGGGAGAAAAGTATTCTGTTCATAGGGGAACAGCTTCTGCCTTAAAATCCCATTTGGAATGTCAGCAGAGAGCCAGGTGTGGTGGTACTGACCTGTAATCCGAGCACTTGGGAGACTGAGATTGATTGCCAGGAGTTTGAAGCAAGCCTGGGCTACATAGTGAGACCCTGTCTAAAGATGGGGGGGCGTGTGCAGGTTGTAGCTCAGCGGCACAGCACCTGCCTGGCAAGTACAAAGCCCTGAGTTTGAGTCCCAGTGTATAAAAAAAAAAAGTCAGGAGATTCAAGCTGGCTGAGATGTAGTAAGAATGGAGTTTGTTGGGTTTTGTTTTGTTTTGCTTTGAGACAGCCTCACTATGTAGTCCAGGCTGGCCTTGAACTCACTATATGGGGCTTGTTGGATTTTGAACCCTAAGGGAACTAAGGAGCCATAAAGAATTTCAAGCAAGGGAGAAAATGGACCACTTTGCTTTTTATAACATGCCTCTGGTTGCCAGAGGAGAGATGTGTAAGAGGGGCTGAAACTGAAGGCGGCAGCCAGGGGAGGATTTTGCAGAAGAGGGAAAGGACAGATGAGACTTCAGAGGCTTCTACAGGCCACAGGACTGAAGGGCTATTTAGGAAGCAGTTTCCAGGTTGAGGCTGGAATGGTAGGATCTTCCCGAGAAAAGATCCCATGAGAAGGAGCAGTTTGTGGAAGAGTATGAGGATGTGGAAATGTCATAAGGGACAGAGATGTGGGCACCATCACTGCAGAAGTGGACATCTGAGTGTGAGCTTGATAGCCCTGGGAGAGCATGAGAAGAGGCAGAGAGCCTCAGGATTGCTGTAGAAGTCCTAGGTAAAGGAAGAAGTACCTAAAATAGCCAAAGAAGTAAGGGAGAGAGCCGGGTGTGGTGGCGCACGCCTGCAATCCCAGCACTGGGGAGGCTGAGGCAGGAGGATTGCTGTGAGTTCGAGACCAGCCTGGGCTACATAGTGAGTTCCAGGTCAGTCTCAACTACATAGTGAGACCCTGTGTCAAAAATCCCCCCCAAAAAAAAGAAGTGATGGAAAAAGTAGGGTTGGATGCCATCAGGGAAGCTACCACCAAGCCTCAGGTTAGGACAGTTAATAGTAGCTAACATTCATCAGTTAGCACTTGAAACCACGTGCCCAGACCTGTACCTGTGTCTTAGACCCCTGTCTCACTGTTCTCACCTTATGAGGCAGGGAGAGGAGGTTACGAAACCCATTTTTTCAAACAAGGAAATAGGCTCAGGGAGGAGCAGCCACATACCCTATGTCACCCAGCTGGTGATTGTCAGGGCTAGGTTCTAACTCCAAGACCTTGGGGGTCACCAGGCCAAGCAAACTGCCCCAGGGTGGTTATGAGGGCGCTTGTATGCACCTGGAGTGAGGTTGATGTTGCACCCTTGCCTGTCTATCTACAGCGCCTGGCACACGAGTGCCTGTCACAGAGCTGTGACAGTGCCAAGCATTCTCCAACATTAGTACCTACAGCCACGAAGCCCGACGCTGTGCAGCCTGATAGCCTGCCATACCCACAGTACCTGGCCGTCATCAAAGCCCAGATATCTTGTGCCAAGGACATTCACACCGCCCTGCTGGAATGTGCCAACAAAGTCACAGGCAAGACGCCCACACCACCTACAGGTCCTGGGGGCACCCTCTGAGGTGGCAGGGAGCCCCACCCACCTGGCGATGAGGGTGGGGTTAGAGTGAATGAAGAGTGGTTTAAACCCAAACAGTGTAAGCTTTGCCTTTATATTCTCTTACCTGAGCGCTACAGCTGGGGCCAGCAGGGGGCAGCAAAGGCCAGCAGGGAAGGTGCTGGGTGGGACCTTGCCTTTGCTGTGTGGCCTCCACTTTTCCTCCCTAGGCTAAGGTCAACTTGGAACTTCGTGCCCCAGCGACCTTTGTTCCAGGGGCCCTGCCCCTGCCTGGTCTGGATGTGGCACCCTGCCGGTCCTTCTCCCGCAGTCCTTTTGAGTCTGTCCCCAGTTGGGCTGATAGCTATTCTGTCTGGCACTTCTCTCTTCCTGTTTTTTTTTTTTTTT